CCTTACCTATCTGGGAATACGAGTAATCTCTCTGATCTTTATGTCAAAAACTTTCTTCCAACCCTTGGTGCCATCCGAACAGACCTAACTAGGTGGCATCGCCCATGCTTCTCCTGGTTTGGTAGGGCTGCTATACTAAAAATGAAAATCCTCCCGCCCCTCTTCTATCTATTTCAAACCTTACCTATCCATTTACCACCTGCCTTTTTCGTTTCAAGAATGTGCTCTCTTTTTTTCTGGAATCATAAACGGCCACGTATTTCCTTCTCCCAACTTGTGCTCCCCAAATCCAAAGGGGGGATTGGACTATCTGACCTGCAACTCTACCATCGGGCCTGCCATCTTACTAGGATAATCGATTGGAATATTCACTTTAGCACCAAAGCGTGGGTCCAGCTGGAACACTCTTGTTCCACTTCCCCCTTAGCATCGATCCCGTGGCTTCTGACCAAACACATTCCTCAAGACCTCCTCCTACATCCAATAATCGGTCCTTCCCTTAAAACCTTTCGCTTAGCCTGTAAATCAGCCTCCATTTCGGATGCCCCCAACCCACTAACTTCTCTTCGCCTCAATCCGGACTTCCCTCTCGGTATGCATAAGTCCTTTCCATCAGCACACTGGCCACACAGTCAAGTTTTAGTGAACCATTTTTTTCACAAAGGTCAGCTGAAGTCTTGTTCTTCCCTGGCAAGTACTATGGGTGATCTCACCTTTCCCTTTTGGGCCTATCTTCAAATCAGACATTTTCTTCTCTCTCCTGCATATCGCCTATCTGCTTCTTCTTGGTGACAGAACCTCTGATTCACTTCCCAACTGCAAAGCTTGGAAAAGAGACTCAAACATTGACTTTTCTTCCTCTGATTGGGACCAAATCTTTACCTTTTCTCATAAGTGCTCCTTGAATGTTTTGGCACAAGAAAACGGATACAAGTTGGCGACACGTTGGTACAATACACCTTCTAGAATCCATCATTTTAATCCATCCAGACCCAGTATTTGTTGGAGATGTGGGGCTCCTGTTGGATCTCTTTTCATATCTGGTGGGACTGCCCTATGGTTCAGCCCTTTTGGCAGGAGGTACATCGGATTACTTCTTCGGTGTCCACTCTTGATATTGAGTTCTCTCCGGCCCAACTCCTCCTCCACCACACTCCACTTCCCAAACGTCTATATTTCAAATCTCTGGCTATGTATATGCTTAACGCGGCTAAACTCTGTTTACCGGTTCTCTGGGGGTCTGTTCACCCCCCCACAGTGCGAGATTGGTTCATATGCTTGAACAGAATTGCTGAAATGGAAGAGCTGATTGCTTCTTCTCTGGATAACCCTACTAAATTTTCTCATACGTGGTCCTGTTGGATTCACTTCTGAACGACCCCTGAATATCGTTCTTTCATGGGCCTTACTGATTGATTCTGAATCTCTCTGACACCCCGTAGTGTTTCTGGCGATATATCGGCTCTCTGTTTTTTCAAGGTTGTGATTGAAGTCCTTTGTCTCGATGTTCTGTACTGCTTGGAGCAAGCTACGCTTGGCACCCTGATACGCCTGCAACTGTCCCCAGCTCTCTTCTCTGCCAGGGTTGCGTGTATCTCTCATGTCCCGGGAGTCTAGAATAAAGGTGACTTACCTACCCTCCTACTCCTCCACACCTCCTCCCTGTCCGACCCTTCCCCAACCCCCATCTCCCTCCCCCCCCCCCCCCCCCACCCCCTTTTTTTTTTTTTTTTTCTTTTTCTTCTTCTCCTCTCTTCCCTTCTTTTTCATACTTATTCTTAAATTCTTAATCCCCATTTCCCTGCTTTCTTACTCAGAGTTTAGCTTTCATTCTCTCCTTTCTATTTTGGTACACTTCTCTATTCATAGGAGCCCTACTCCCTATCTGCAATCCAGCTGCGCATATGTTTTACTTTTACATATCTCCTTTCCCGAACCCTTTACCCATGTGCTGGCAATCTGTAGTGGGTTACCTCAGTTTCCTCAAAAGTACAAGGCCATATCATACAAGCCCTTGCACCCCCCCCCTCCACACCTACTGTATACATTACCAACGCATACCTTTGACTCACTGGCCCTGCTCTTTGCTGCTGCTCGGTAACTGAGGTTATATGTCATTGACCCTGCCAGTGCTGTGATTCCAATATGTTGAATAAGGGCTTGAGACCAGATTTGCCTTTAATGTTCCTGCGCTTGCATGTTCTCATTTTTCCCCTGTTTTCTTTTCCCTGGGATGACTTACATCTGATTTTGTCTATGTATTGCTATGTATCTTTTTGTTTGCTGTATGTGCATTACCTCCTATTGTATTTCCGACTGATACCTTGTATTACCTGTACTTATTGTATGCTCTGAGTTTATTAATAAACTTTATGGAAAAAAAAAATAATTATACAGTCTACACTGTATCTAGAAACAGGAAAAAATGTTACCATGCATATAACATTATTTACAGTCAGGTCCATAAATATTGGAACATCGACACAATTCTAACATTTTTGGCTCTATACACCACCACAATGGATTTGAAATGAAACGAACAAGATGTGCTTTAGCTGCAGACTGTCAGCTTTAATTTGAGGGTATTTACATCCAAATCAGGTGAACGGTGTAGGAATTACAACAGTTTGCATATGTCCCTCCCACTTGTTAAGGGACCAAAAGTAATGGGACAGAATAATAATCATAAATCAAACTTTCACTTTTTAATACTTGGCTGCAAATCCTTTGCAGTCAATTACAGCCTGAAGTCTAGAACGCATAGACATCACCAGACGCTGGGTTTCATCCCTGGTGATGCTCTGCCAGGCCTCTACTGCAACTGTCTTCAGTTCCTGCTTGTTCTTGGGGCATTTTCCCTTCAGTTTTGTCTTTAGCAAGTGAAATGCATGCTCAATCGGATTCAGGTCAGGTGATTGACTTGGCCATTGCATAACATTCCACTTCTTTCCCTTAAAAACTATTTGGTTGCTTTTGCAGTATGCTTTGGGTCATTGTCCATCTGCACTGTGAAGCGGCGTCCAATGAGTTCTGAAGCATTTGGCTGAATATGAGCAGATAATATTGCCTGAAACACTTCAGAATTCATCCTGCTGCTTTTGGCAGCAGTCACATCATCAATAAATACAAGAGAACCAGTTCCATTGGCAGCCATACATGCCCACGCCATGACACTACCACCACCATGCTTCACTGATGAGGTGGTATGCTTAGGATCATGAGCAGTTCCTTTCCTTCTCCATACTCTTCTCTTCCCATCACTCTGGTACAAGTTGATCTTGGTCTCATCTGTCCATAGGATGTTGTTCCAGAACTGTGAAGGCTTTTTTAGATGTCGTTTGGCAAACTCTAATCTGGCCTTCCTGTTTTTGAGGCTCACCAATGGTTTACATCTTGTGGTGAACCCTCTGTATTCACTCTGGTGAAGTCTTCTCTTGTTTGTTGACTTTGACACACATACACCTACCTCCTGGAGAGTGTTCTTGATCTGGCCAACTGTTGTGAAGGGTGTTTTCTTCTTCACCAGGGAAAGAATTCTTCAGTCATCCACCACAGTTGTTTTCCGTGGTCTTCCGGGTCTTTTGGTGTTGCTGAGCTCACCGGTGCGTTCCTTCTTTTTAAGAATGTTCCAAACAGTTGTTTTGGCCACGCCTAATGTTTTTGCTATCTCTCTGATGGGTTTGTTTTGTTTTTTCAGCCTAATTATGGCTTGCTTCACTGATAGTGACAGCTCTTTGGATCTCATCTTGAGAGTTGACAGCAACAGATTCCAAATGCAAATAGCACACTTGAAATGAACTCTGGACGTTTTATCTGCTCATTGTAATTGGGATAATGAGGGAATAACACACACCTGGCCATGGAACAGCTGAGAAGCCAATTGTCCCATTACTATTGGTCCCTTAACAAGTGGGAGGCACATATGCAAACTGTTGTAATTCCTACACCGTTCACCTGATTTGGATGTAAATACCCTCAAATTAAAGCTGACAGTCTGCAGTTAAAGCACATCTTGTTTGTTTCATTTCAAATCCATTGTGGTGGTGTATAGAGCCAAAAATGTTAGAATTGTGTCGATGTCCCAATATTAATGGACCTGACTGTACATTGGATTTATAACCCTGCCCTTATCTTTTTATGTACATCCCTCCTAATTATTAAATGAGTTACGAACGGCCTTTTTTAACCAGGGTGTCCAGGCACCCCGGGGTGCCTTGACGTTTCTTCAGGGGTGCCTTGGCAAAATGTCTAAAAATTGCCCAAAATTTGTATACAAGCCAACAGATGGATCAAGCCTTCCTTTTAGTTACACAAAGCCACAGGTTTTCATTGTACACCATTCCAACCTTCTAGCCACTGGCGCCCCAATGACATCATCAGTTGATAAGAAGGATGTTGGTTGTCTGCACAGCATCCTTGTTTGACCCTCCCTGTCAGTGGTGGGGTCACATTAGCTCAATGATGGAGAAAAAATGAGGGAGAATAGAAACAATGGAATACTAGTCAGTACCAATGTGCAAAAGTGTATTTGCTTTGGAAGAATAAATCACCTCTAGTGTTGGGTGTCCTACATGCGTGGATGTTGCTGCATTACATATAACTATTAGAATAGATTTTTACATTTTAGAATGGGGTGCCTTGGGACTGTCCATAATTTTAAAGAGTGCCTTGGGACTGTCCATAATTTTAAAGCGCACCTTGACCGAAAAAAGGTTGAGAAACACTGGTTTAGAAATAGCTTTAATCTGGAATCCTTGCAATACCACTCTCCTCCAGCAGAGGTTATGTGGTCTCTAATGAAAAGCAGTGTTAGAGCCTGAACATCATTTCCCCAAACCGCTTAGTCTCATGATGAGTGGTGGTGCAAGAATTTCAATAGAAAGGCAAGAAAGACAAAAAAAAAATACAAAAATAAAAAAATTTAAAAAAGACTTTGCATTCCCCTTCAAACCATTATAAACAATGTCATGTTTGGCTGCACCATATTGTTATGAGTCCTATCACAAAGCTGTGATATTTGGTTCTTCCCCCTGGAGATCAACCACTTCCTCTTCATCTTCTTCATCTTCTCCGAAACTCTCCTCTTCATCTTCATGGTTCCATCTGTTCTTCACACTCTGCACCCTCTCCTGTGCTCTCTGCCACAGCTCCCATGGATGGTACGCCTCCCCACCTTCAGTGTGGACAAGTTTTTTCCAGGCAAGGACAAGGGCGATGCAAATCACAATTAAAAGCAGAAAAAGTAACACAACTGTGGTTGTGCTGGCTGGCTTTGTGGATTCAGCTAGTGCAACTGGTAGCATCAGCAGTAAACTGGTCCATGATCTCAGAACTGGAGTCATCTGAGGGAACAGGAAACATCTTTGGGTGAAACAATAGTAAATCTTAATCAACACATTTTTAGGCACTAAAAAATGCTAAATTTACCTTAATGTCCCCGGCTTGCCAATTAAAAATGTAAAGTGATTATTTTCTTAGACCTGGTTCACATCTATGTGGGTGGTGGTGGGTGCGGAAACCACAGCAATTCCCCCACCCTCAGTCAAAACGCGCTGATGTTTGAAAATTCACGGGGCTGCCATTCAATCTGAATGGAACCCCAACCCATCTAAAAATGCAGCAGGTGAGAAACCACAGGGAAATTGCATGGTGGTGCTTTACCGTTGCGTTTTTAGAATGGTGCGGGAAACACAGTCATGGCAGCCCATTCAAACTAATGAGCTGCGGTGTCCTAACAAGTTCCAAAAGAAATGGCAGCCCTTGCTAGACAGTTCGCCCACCAGTGCCCCAGGGGCTGATTTATTCACTTTTTAGAAGGAAGCAGAGGGGCGCCATACTAAGTGCAGTACTAATGGTAAATGTTATTAAAAACATACAATTGGCAACTCACAGCAGAGTAGACAAAGCTAGGCATGGCAGTATTATGTCCAGATCCCCTAGGGATGGTCGATAACAGGTGGTCTATGCGTAGCTAAATAGGGAGCAAGAGGAGCATCCTAGCATGGAATGCAAGATGGTGGCGGACCGGACATGATGACATAAGTGGGCGGTGACGTGATTCGAAGCTTCCCACTTACATCATCTTGTTCCCTGCTGATGTCACGCCTGTTCTGGCGCCATCTTGTGTTCCACGCTGGTAAATGTGGCAGTCGGCCGCATTAGGATGCTCCTCTTGCTCCCTATTCAGCTACGCATAGACCGCCTAGTTTTGACCATCCCTAGGGGATCCGGACATCACACTGACATGCCTAGCTTTGTCTACTCTGCTGTGAGTTGCCAATTGTATGTTTTTAATAAAATTTACCATTAATGCTGCACTTAGTCTGCGCCCCTGTGCTTCCTTCTACTTACAGAGTTTCAGCTTTGCTCTAAAGGTGCTGCCGCTGATGCCACTTATCTGTGCTTCCTCTTGAATTTCCCATGGTCTCCCATATGGACTGTTATATGAACTTTTAATATAGCCATACACCCCTCCAGTGCCAACTGATATTCTCCTTTATCCAGTTTTTTACTGCCTCTTCTGAGTTGGCCTTTTACATCCACCTATCTTTTGGTCCAGTGTTTATATACCACCCCCAGTTTGCTGTGTGGCCCTGCTACTCCGTACTAAATGGCAGCCTGGGTATATAAACTGAGACTGTAGTTATGCAGCAAGGTGTTACATATAAGGGTGAACAGGGTCATGTTACCATACTAGGGGGCCCCTCCAGGGGCTCCTACATCATTCCTATACTGCGTGTCTCATGGGGATGTTGCTTGGATTGTGGAGGAGGGGGTAGGGGGGAAGTTTTGTACTGCCCACGGGCCTTGCACTTGATTGTGTTGTTGTATTCCTTGTTGGTTTTGTTGTTGTTTTATCTGTACAAAAGGCTGGTTGGGTATGTGGGGTTGTCTGTTTACCTTTTTGTTGTTGTTGTTTTTATGGCTGTTTTAAGTTTTTTACTCTTGAAAATAAAAAGAAATTTACAAAAAAAAAATTTGATGGGCTGCTGTATCCACGTAAACACGGACCGCAAACCCGCATAGACGTGAACCAGGCCTTAAAGGTGTTGCTCAGTATTTTCAGTAAGTACAACATTTTGAGTAAAGTGAAATTTACTCCAGTCAAACAAACATATAGGGGTTGACTTACTAAAGGCAAATTATTATTATTATTATACAGTATTTATATAGCACCAACAGTTTGCTCAGCGCTGTACATTATAATGGGAGACAGTACACGAGACAGTACAGTAACAATACAATACACGAGGGGTTCAAGGGCCCTACTCCTTGGAGCTTACAATCTAGGAGGGAGGGGAGAGTGGTACAGGAGGAAATAGCTGTGGGGGATGGAGTGGTGGAAGTGCGGAGGAGATCGGCAATTAGGTGAGGGTGGGGTAGGCTTCTCTGAAGAGATGGGTTTTCAGGGTGCGCCTAAAGGTGAGGAGGGTAGGTGACAGTCTGATGGATTGGGGTAGTGAGTTCCAGAGTATGGGGGAAGCCCTAGAGAAGTCCTGGAGGTGGGCATGGGAGGAGGAGACCAGGGAACTAGAGAGTAGGAGGTCTTGTGAGGAGCGGAGAGTGTATTTTGGGTGGTAGATGGATATCAGGTAGGTGATGTAGTTTGGGGCAGTGTTATGAACAGCTTTGTACGTCAATGTTAATATTTTGAATTTTATGTGTTGGGCAATCGGAAGCCAGTGGAGGGATTGGCAGAGGGGGGTGGCGGATACAGTGCGGTTGGTAAGGTGGACGAGTCTGGCTCCAGAATTCAGGATAGACTGAAGCAGGGATAGCCTGTGTTGGGGTAGGCCAGCGAGGAGGGAGTTACAGTAGTCGTGTTGTGCTATGATAAGGGAGGGAATGAGTTGCTTTGTAGTTTCTGGAGTTAGGAACGTGCGTATTTTGGAGATACTGCAGAGGTGGAGTCTGCATGAATTGGCAGCGATTGGACCTGGGGCTGGAAAGACAGATTGGAGTCTAGGAGGGCACCTAGTACTCTGGCTTGCGGGGTAGGGCTGATGGTGGCGCTGTTTGTTGTGATGGAGAGGTCGAGGGGGGCATGGGCTTGGGGGAAAACTAGGAGTCCGGTTTTGGCAAGGTTTAATTTGAGGAAGTGGAGTGACATCCAGTCTGATATGTCGTTCAGAAGGCTAGTGATTCTGGCGGAGAATGAAGGGGTGAGGCGAGGGGTAGAGAGATAGATTTGAGTGTCATCGGCATAGAGATGGTAGTTGAAGCCGTGGGAGTGTATCAATTGACCAAGGGAGGAGGTGTAGATGGAGAAGAGAAGGGGCCCAAGGACAGAACCTTGGGGGACCCCAACAGATAGGGGGAGTGAGGGGGAGGTGGCAGAATTATAGGTAACACTGAAGGAGCGTTGTGATAGATAGGAAAAGAGCCAGGAGAGAGCGAAGTCTCTGAGGCCAAAAGAGTATAGTTTTTTGAGGAGGATGGGGTGGTCGACCGTGTCGAAAGCCGCAGAGAGGTTAAGGAGTAGTAGCACTGAGTAGTGGCCATTGGCTTTGGCGGTTAGCAGGTCGTTGGTGAGTTTGAGTAGGGCAGTTTCAGTGGCATGTAGGGGACAGAAGTCAGATTGTAGGGGATCAAGGAGGTTGTTGTCGGTGAGGTGGGAGCTTAGGCGATTATAGGCTAAGCGCTCAAGGAGTTTGGATGAAAATGGAAGCATTGGTTGTTTAGGTCGGTGGGATCCAGGGAGGGTTTTTTAAGTATGGTAGTGATGTGCACGTGCTTCAGAGGGGAGGGGAATGTGCCAGTAGAGAGGGAGAGATTAAAGATCTGAGTGAGGGAGCGTAGGATGGAGGAAGAGGGTGATCGTTGGAGTTGTGTGGGGACAGGGTCAAGGGGGCAGGTGGTAAGAGCTTCAGAGAAGACCTTAGTGACCTCTTCAGTGGTAGCAGGGTCTTTTGAGGGGGTTTTAGTTTGAGGAATGTTGGGCGGGGTGGAGGTTTGGACAGTGGCGAGCTCGAAGGAGAGGAGTGTTGAGGGGGTTTTTGTGTGAGGGATGCTAGGTGGGGTGGAAGTCTGAGCAGTGGTGATGTCCCTGCGAATTGCATCGATCTTGCTTTGGAAGTGGTTAGCAATCTTGTGGGCGGTGAGTGAGGTACTGGGTGGAGGTGGGGGCGGAGAGAGCAGAGAGTTGAAAGTGGAGAAGAGCCGGTGAGGGCTGGAGGAGAGGGTATTGATGAGGGTTACAAATTAGGTTTGCTTGGCAGCATGGAGGGAGGAAGTGAAGGTGAGGAAGGCGGATTTATATCAGGTGAACGCTTGTTGGGATCTGGTTTTGCTCCATAGTCGCTTGAGATTTTTGGTGTGGTCATTCTGCCAGGGTTGAAGCGGTCGGGGTCTAATATTTTGTGTGGTTAAGGGTGCTAAGGAGTCAAGAGTGGCTGACAGCGAGTTGTTATAAACAGTAGTGGCCAGGTCAGGGCAGGACAGGGGAAGCATACTGTTATATTTGCCTTTAGTAAATGAACCCATGGTGTCATTTACGGGCCAAAAAAGTTGAAAAGATGGGACCGCCACAGTAATTCATAAATTCCATAAAATATTTTATTCCACAACAAAATCTAATGCGTTTCAGGGGTTCAACACTCCCCCTTCATCAGGGCTTGTAAAGTAATAATCATAGAACGAGGCATACCATCCTGGACTGTAAATTGGAACCCAAATAAGCCTGTTCAGAGTATGACAAAGATTTACATGCCAAAGAATTTCTAATTTTGCTCAATCACACTTTTGATTTACACACATCTGCTAAGATGAAAAGTCCTTTTCCACATTTCTGCTACTTCAACAGAGATGATGTTTTTTTGTCCAGTAAGCAGACAAGATGTGGTCTATCCTGCACTACATAAACAAACGATTTTTAAAACCCTAAAGTTGAACCCATTATAATATAAAATGTGTTGTAGCACCTAAAGTGTTACTAAACCCACAACAGTAAAATCAGTCTGTATATACAGTAAAGCAAGTTTTGATCCTGACTTCTCTTATCCTCCCCTTCTTCCAGTGCCCCCCTTTTATCTCCTGATAAGACGTATTGTGTGGTGTCACTCTGAACATGCTCAGTTTGATGTGTATTGCTAGAGAGGTATTTTTTTTTTTTGGGAGAGTGCATGTGGTCAGCACAGGGCCAATCAGCACTGTCCAAACAGAGGTCAGGGGTTCTGCATCCTCCTAGAGCAGAAAGAAAACTCCTCCTACAAGCTTTAACTTGTACTCTGCTGGACACTGATAGAAATCACAAGACTGCTCTAACTGCTGATGAGAAAAGATATTTAGCAGTTTATATTTACTAAAATAATTGCATTTCCATGTTCTCTGTACTGTGGGAGAC